TCTGGATACTGTTTGAAATAGAATGAAGATTTAAATCTTATATTTAAAAATGATTTGACAGAAGAAATAGTAAAGGAAAGCACTGCAATGGGTTCAGGAAGACATGTGAAGACCACTGTCAGCGGGTAGCTTGTCACTATTGCCCAAAGTGCAAATTAAAGTCTACCATGCAAAGAAAAATACATACATAGACACGATCCAGCAAAGCTGCCATCTACTCTGGGTCTGAGCTCAGTCCGAATGGACTTGGAAAAGGGTAAAATTATTCTGAGCAATTAAAATCTGAAGTTATTTTTGACACCATGTCCTCTGAGCTAATGAGGAGAGAGCTCATCAAGCTTGTTACCAGCACACAGTTGAAAAGCCAGCATCTGTGATGATATGGAAGTGTATTAGTACAGGTGGTATGGGTAACTTCCACATCTGTGAAGGTCCCATTAATACAAAATTATATAGAGAGATATTTTGAAGCAATAACTGCTTCAAAAATCCAGATGACATATTTTTCTGTAAAAGTGAGCTTTTAGCAAGACAAGGCCAAACTCCACACTGACAACACCATAGCTTTGAAATAAAAGATGCCAAACTTGCAGGCCTGCAGCAGTACCTATCACTCACTGCAAACATCTGGCACTTTATTAAATGAAAAAAAAAACATGGAGGAGGAGCCAAATATATACAAGGGACCTGGAAAACATTTAGCCCCAAACCTAAATCACTTCAAATGAATAAACAGGTTCCTCATTGATTTCTTGATGTGTAAATGAACTAGTTTTCGCTCCCGTTGCAAGGTGACAACTTATCATCCTAAAGAAGTATCTGTCATCTGTTCACATACAAAAGATAAGATGCATGAATGTTTGTTTGCATTATGTTAAAGCAGCATTAAATGATTTTCTTGACCTATTGGAGCGTGTAGCACAAGCTGAAAGCAGTTCTGACACATTATCATTTTTTTTAAGTTCGCAGCATGAACATGTTAACAAATACTCAGGAGAAACATATTATGCAGTAGAGTTGTGTTTAATTATTTCAAAATGTAGTTTTGTTAAGATCTGACAATATTAGCTTCCATTCACTTACATCCTGTTGCTGCAGTTTTGTTCAGATTCCATTCGGTTTGAGCTGTGCTGCTAATATGAGCGTCATTAAAGTTGAAGATCCTCTGGGTATTTTTGTTTTATGACAGCTGACAGTTCTTGAATAACTGAACATATTGTTCATGAAACACTTGAGCTGCAGGTGTTACACAACTTTAAGGGCCATTGTCGAGGAGTTTCCTTTTTATTACATCTTGTTGTCTTCAACCTTCAGTCGGACCCTGTGTGAGGTTACTCCTGTTCACTGCTGTTTCTATATAACTGCTCAGATGTACTAACATTTGTCCACTTGGCTCCACAAACCATGTTCAGGAAAATATCCCCCCTTAATTGCAAGACTATCATGCATTCAGTTATATTTAGAGACAATATCTACACTAAAAGTAGCACTCCACTCCTATCAGTACTACAACAAGTACTAAGTTTAGCTACAATTGCTATAACCACTACTACTTGCCTTTTCCTATCAATGATGATGGTACTCCTTCTGTAGGAGGAAAGTGGGTTAATACTAGAGCTACTACCAGTACAAGTACAATTATACTTTATTAGTTTAACAAATTGTTGCAATAATTTTTCACAGGACTCTATAGGGTCTGTAGAGCTAATCAAATGTGCTTGATTAACTGATCAAGGTCAGATGGTGCAATGCTTAATGGTCAAACTGCAAAAAACCCAAGAGCTACACCTCAAACCTTACAGGTCATGTTAACGTGGGCGACCGTGGCTCAGGGGGTTGGGAATCGCATCTGTAACCGGAAGGTCGCCGGTTCGAGCCCTGGGCTCTCTGTCCTGGTCGTTGTGTCCTTGGGCAAGACACTTTACCCTACTTGCCTACTGGTGTTGGCCAGAGGGGCTGATGGCGCGATATGGCAGCCTCGCTTCAGTCTGCCCCAGGGCAGCTGTGGCTACAACTGTAGCTTGCCTCCACCAGTGTATGAATGTGAGAGTGAATGAATAGTGGTATTGTAAAGTGCTTTGGGTGCCTTGAAAAACGCTATATAAATTCAATCCATTATAACATTCATAATATTACAAATTAACAAATATTAAACAAATACATCTTGTTTAAATGTATTACCAATCTGCAGTTTGCAAAGGTTCTGGAACAATATCTTTTGGATCAAAGTGGACAGGTTTGGACATAATGCACAGCCACAAAAATAATAGCATATTAGCGTATCACCACCAGCATCTGTCAGTAGGGTGGCGAAAAGGTGAAGATTGGGGCAAGATCTGTAGCCATACTACATAGGAATCATAGCCCCTTGTGGTCATTGGGTCAACCATGAAGTATTGCAGAAAATCAAATCTGAGACCATCTGTCCAACAGCTAATGTTTAGTTAGGACAACAATCCGAAGAAGACCAGCAAATCTACAACAGAATGCTGTGTGCGGACCTTAAAAGAGCCGTGCATAAATGAATGCCCACTAACTTCAGAATTCAGTGGTGTGAGAGACTGCTAAAGTCATGAAGAAAATTATTACTTCTAATCATTGGTGCTAAAGGTGGTTTTACAAGCTTTAGACTCATAAGCTGTTATTAATTATTCACAGGATTAGACTCCTATGAGACTGCACACTTATACAAGCTGAACCTGTGTACACTGCAAACAATCCAAGCCAGTCTTATTGTCACTGTTATTAAGCTTGTCCCTGTACTGTGACCAAGCTATATCATTGCCTACCAACTGTTACCTTTTTGAACTGTAGCACAGTTACTGTAGAGCCTTCTGGTGCTTTTTGTTAGTCAGTCTAATACAGATGCAGACATTTCAGAGATGTTGTTTTTCTACTTCAAGCTAAAATTTTATTATAATTCATAGATTATATTAAATTAAAGTAAAAATGCAATGTTTTTTTTCCAAATCTCACTCCTGGCTGGCAATGAGGATAATGAGACCTGTTGTACAAAGTTGTCCTATGTGCCATTGGGTCGTTTTAACATAATTCATTTTGGATTCAGAATAATCAAGCTGAGTGAAACTCTACTTTCTGTCAGTGTGTAACTACATGAGATGTCTTTAAATAATATAAAGAAGTGCAATTTTAACAGTAGATCTCGGTATATGTTTGACACCCCTGCCTTACAGGAAAGGAACTGTGCAAATCAATGCAAAGTGGTTCTGAGTAATAACATTTGCAAACACATCTATACTGATGGGAGTGGTCTTTTCCAGGACAATAATGCCCTCATCCATAGGGAATGAGGGCTTACTGAAATTTGATTTGGAGAAATCAATTCCAGAAACTGTACTTGTAGTGGACCTTTGCTGATACTTTCCCACATCCCTTAATTTGAATGCGCCCTATCATTTCCAAATTTACATGTTTATGCTGTTTTGTATGATTTACTGTAGCCCCTCAGTTCATCCTCTGTTTGAAACAAGCTGTTATAGCTCCTCATCATTTGAAACGTCTGCCACATGTATAAGTAATAAGTAATAAGTAAAAGTATATCAGTGATTTTTCTTTGATTTGTGATCTGTCCATTTGTGTTGTTTACCACACTTTAATGAAATATTAGAAAACCTTAGCTGAAAAATTACTAATGGACTAGAATATTCAATACTTTAAAGGAATATATTATTATTATTAACAAAACAAAACTTCTCCCATATCCCACATGTTACACAGTCACAGTTGCTTCTCAGATATTTCATAATTTTTCAGATTTGTTCCCTTCCTTTACAAATAACGACTTTTGACCTTTGAATAATTTAGTTTAATTTGCATTCATTTGTGCAACTCTGGTTTTGATCATATGATTTTAAACCTCTTTTTGTTACTAAAACTCAAAAGTAAACTTAACTTGAAAAAGAGGGTGCATTAAAACGCAGTTTATTCCTAAAGACATGCAGCATACCAGTGTCTTAAGCAGCAGAATGAAGAAAACCCTCCAGCTCATGGAGAGCTGCCGTTCTGTCATGTGGCAATTGGACAGTCATTAAAATTATGCTGAAACATATGCCTTTATTACTTCTTTAACTGTTGCTACAACTTTTACAAATGCCTTGAGCTTATCTCCAACATGTGCTTTTACCTCTTATCATTAAGTGTCGATGACTTTATTCAGCAGTTCCTCTGAACTGCGCACACGGGCGCATGTTCCAGTGACCCACCATTGATCCCACAAAGGCAAGCCTTCGCCTGACAGCCAATAAAAGGAGGCCAGCCAAGGAGCCCCCGTCACACATAGTTCTGGCAACACTGAACCCTGAACTTACATCATCGAGTAAAGTAGGCCAAAGTTCAACTGCTGCAATCGTCACAGGAGGTTACCACACTGGCAGCGGCAGCCTGAATCAGAGACTATATCAATTGGATTTGCTTTGCTGCTTCAGGGCAAAAGTTTATTTTACACTAAAAAATGCTGAAAACTATGTGAGCATATATTACTGTTTATTTCAGAATTTTAAGATTGAAATCTTGTGCTATTGTCTCAGCCTTCTTTTTGATTGGATGGTAAGAGACTAACTGTTATCATTCTAAAAAAAAAAAAAGCATTTGTCCAGGCGGTCTCCCCTTGAGTTTTCCCTCCAAAAACATGTGTTACTCAGAAAGAGAGACAGAGGGAGAGACAGCCACAGCAGTGAAAGCATAGCTACCTGCCTCTCTTTCATATCTGAGCCAGCTATCAGCGATCAGCGGCAGAGGGAACCGGTTATTCAAAGACGACATTACGTGCTGCTGCTGAGTAATGATTCACCAGCAGCCTGTTGCACACTGTGTTTTTCACATCTGCAGGGAACAACAGGTTCACCCAGCTAACGCAAGGGCCAACCCC